TTTTTTTTTTTTTTAAGTTTAGTAACTTTGAAGCATTCAGGCTCCTGGACCCTGTGATGTTCTCCTTTAAACTTTGCAAGCAGCCTTTGTCCCCCAGGGCAGGGCGCAGTCCCTGCCGAGGCTCTGCCTGCCCAGCCTGAAAGTCACCCCAAGACCCGGCTCCTTCCGTTTCATTCCAGGGAGGACAGCAGCGTATCTGGCAGCCACACGTGCCCTGCTTCTCGAAAGATGCGAAGCTAACAGAATTCGCACGTCCGTTCTCCTTACGGTCCCTGCTCTGTTCTGCCCGCCACGGTGGCCCGGTCTGGCATGCGCCTCGCAGCCACAGGGGCACCGCGTTAGACTCCCCTGGACCAGCAGACCGGTCGCCAGGGCTCCGGGCGTCCCGTTGAAGCGATCGTGAAACCACCGGCCACGTGACAGAGTCCCTGGGGGGGCCTGTGTTGTGTTTCCGTGTCGGTTTCCGTAGACTGTGTGAATGAACATGGACAGCACAAGCTGGCCTTGTGTTGCTGGTTCCCGTTCAGTATTTACTGGGGGTGGTGTGCCTTCCACGTAAAACGCTTTTGCCCAGTAGCGCAGTGTGTTTTAATGCCACAGGCCACGTCCGCGTCGCTCCGCTTTGGAGACCCTCCCGGCTGCCGCTTCCTTTGGATTCGGTGAGACCCGCAGCCTGCGCTCAGACACCCGCGTGCTTCGATGCATGTATCTTGTGTAGACAAGCACGAAAGAGAAGGTGCTCACTAACGGAGGTACATTACTGCAATGTTCTCTTAACAGTTAAACAAGCTGTTTACAATTCAAACTGCTGAATATTTGAGCTATTTAAAGCTTATATTTTAGTATGAACTACATGAAGGTTGAGACATGCTTTAGAAAAATGCACTGATTTCTGCATTATGTGTACAGTGTTGGACAAAGGATTTTATTCATTTTTGTTGCATTATTTTGAATATTGTCTTTCCATTTTAATAAAGTTATAATACTATTTATGACACCGTTAACCGCGTTTCTTGCCTAAGCTCTTCTATAAAAGTTGATGTCTCCAGTACGTTCACAGCCATTACCGTCTTTAAGCACAAGGGAAAGTTTTTTTGCAGCCTCATAAATGCTTGAAATTTATGGTTGGTCCCTAAAATGAAAGTAACTTGAGCAATTAACGTTCAATATTATACGAATGCACAGTGAAGACGGCTGGGCGTCCGTATTTCCCTTTAACAGTTCAGAAAGGGAGCAAGGGGCAGATGCTGGGGTGTCCCTGTCAAAGCAGGTCCTGCCTAGGGAGGGGCTCCCCCGTCAAGGGGAACGTACGGAAGAAACGGGCGTAGGTACAAACTGGACGTGACTTTGAGTTTCAGGACTACGTCCGGGTTGTTGGGGGCCCTTGGGAGGCTCTGCTTCTTGCTTGATGTGAGGCCACCAAAGGAACCCCAGCCCATCCTGGCCTCTCACAAAGAGGACGGACCTGCTTCTCGCAGCTTCTAGGTGCAGGAGGAAGCTGGGCCTCTGTGCTTGAGGGCGCCCCTCCCCGGTGCCGTGGGGCTCTGCGCCCGGCTCCCCCCTCTCCTGGGCCCTGTAGCCAAAACCCAGCTGCTCCTCCCACTCCCCAGGCTGCTGGGCAATATGGTGAAGCTCTCCATGACCTTCACTGAACTCGGTATCCTCCACAGTCGGGAGTGAGGACTCGGAGGTCAGTGAGCTGGGCTGGAAGGCCACCTCCACCTCCGTCTGTGTTGGGCAGATTCTTTTCATTATTTTTCTAATGTTTATTTTTGAGAGCGCGAGCAGGGGAGGGATGGGGTAGGGGTGGACAGAGGATCCAAAGCGAGCTCTGCGCTGACAATAGCCCCATGTGGGGCTCAAACTCACAAACCAGATCATGATCTGAGCCGAAGTTAGACGCTTAACCAGCTGAGCCACCCAGGTGCCCCAGTGCTGGGCATATTCTTTAAAATCTCAGTCCTTGGGTAAAACTTGTTGGGGGGGGAGGGTTGGGGGGGCCATGATACCCACTACGTGGAATTATCTGCGACAACTGCCTGTAAACCGTGGCAGCTGGCACGCAGTGAAGGCCCAATACAGGGATGGATTCTGTGGTCATTGGTTGCTCGCAATTGCCCTGAAAGGTGTTCCTTCTGACCTTTTACAGATGAAGAAATGAGCTCAGGGAGTTGGTTCAACAGACACATGTTGGGGAATACCACCCCCTGCTAGACCCTGGGAGAGAGGCATACTCCCTGCCCGCTTGGATTTAAAGCGGTACCTAATAACAATTTGCAGTGACGGTGACAGTGACCGTCACAAAGGGCCCTCTTCTCCAAGGTGATAAGAAGGGAAGCTAAACCTCAGGAGGTGGAGCGAACAGGGAGGAAGAGCCCAGGAAAGAAGTCCTGTGTGAGACCCCAAGGCTGGGAAAAGGTCTGGCATTTTGCAGAAGCCAGAAGTAGCAGCAGGAAGATGGGCGCTGGGCAGGGTGGTAACTGTGCAAAGGTCTAGGCAGGGGAGTGACGGGATCTGATTTGTCTTAAGATGACAGTGGCTGCTGTGTGGAGAGAAGCCAAGAGAAACACAAAGGTGTCGGTGGCTGGGGGGCGGGGGGAGGCGCCGGTAGGGAGGGTGTCAGGATGGGAGAAGAAGAAAACTGGCTTTGAGAGATCCTTCAAGGTAGAGGCAGCTGGTTGGACAGCAGTAGGAGGAGCCAGGGGGTGCCCGGCTCCAGTGCCCCGCCCTCCAGCCCCCAGGGGTGCAGGGAGTCAGGGGAGATGTGAACAGAGCACTCCCATTAATCTTTCCCTGTGTTTCATTTGTTGTTTTTGCCTCTTTTCTCTGCCCCCCCAGACGATCTTTAGTTTCATTATTTGCTTCCCTCTGAACTTTCATGTTTTTCCTTGATTTTGCCAGAATATACTTTCTCCCTGTCTTTTCATGGCCAACCAAGTGCACCTCGCCATGGAGCTAACTCTATATGCTACACAACTAAACGCTGTCTGGAGTGCCAGCTCAATCCTCAACAGACGCAAGGAGCCAGTGAACTCGGGAAGGGGGGGTTCTCCGGGCACAGGCCGGCAGGGCCTGCGCTCTCAGCTGCTGCTGAGCCCCCCGCACCAGGGGAAACGGCTGTTAGCTGCTGCCGGATACACGGTTATCGGGCAGGTACTACCTAGTAACAAAGTGCTGTCCGAAAGTCAGGAAATGTAGGCTCCGGTCAACCCCCACCCCCCACATCCGATGCCAAGGCTCCCCTTCACATCCCGAGCCTTGCTGTCCCCTCAACCTGAGACCGTGCCCCAGCAGACACAGTACCACACAAACCACAGGGATTTATGATTAGGGACTGTCTCATGGCAGAAGGCAGACGCTAAGGCAAGAGGACTCATTTGTAAGTCAATTCAAAGTGTGGGGGAAACTAACTGTGAAGTGTTCCCAGGCCGCAAGAATCGATCGTGTGTTGCCCATCTGTTATTAAATGCCACGTACATACTAATGGAAGGTTCCATCTTGTTTATACGTTGCTTAGTTCTCCCTACGTCTCTAGGGATATCTTAACCATGTTAGGAAAAGAACTGTCTGTAAGAGGATGTCTCTTCACTGCCAGGGGCCCTGTTCCAAAAAAAGAGGCCGACAGATTCTTCTAGACCATCTCATGGTTGGAGAAAAGAGAGCAGTATCCCTTTGTCCACTGGCTCGAGTATCAAAATACATATTAAGCTATACTCTATTTCAGTTCTTAATTTCATCACCTAATTTGTACTTTTGAGGTACATGGAGACTTTTTCTTAAAAAATAAGCTCTTAGCGTGGTTATTTCATACATAGTTTGTTCGCGTTTTGTTCTGTAGTAATTATAGACGCACAGGAAGTTTCAAACTTGTACAGAAAGATGCCCTGTACCCATTACCCAGATTCCCCCAAAGATAACATCTTACAAAATTATAGTCCATTATCAAAACCGGGAAATAGACCTTGTCACAATATTCCCAGACGGTATTTTATTTAGAAAGAGTTCCTATCAAAATGGACTTAGGTCCCACTTTTTAAAATTAATTTATAAATTGATTCTGGCATTCTGTTAGGCATTTGGTGAAAAGCTAATCAAGCTTTAAAAATATGTTGCTGTGTCAATGTTCATTATGCAGATAGTAACTGAGATAAAACTGATGCATGTTAACTTTGATGGGCCAAGATTTTCTGCAAGATGAATTTGCATGAGCTCTAGTAAAGCCAGTACTTCAGACCTCGAGGATTCAGGAATAGTTTCCCAGAGCCTTGAGGCGCCCCAGCTTTGAAATGTGTAACAAACCAGTACCAAAGCTCTGAGGTATCCTTGTCTTTAGAAAGTAAGTCTGGTTCAAAGTAGGATCCACTCAGAGACATGTTTCTTTGCAGACTAGATCACTTGGCAGATGTTCTCCTTTTCCTCTCCACGTGTGAATCATACAACTTTTTTTTTTTTTAATGTTTATTT